ACGACCTGGATTGCGAGAAAACCATACCTGAGCTCCCCCGTGGATTCGGAAAACATCTCCTCAGCGACACGTAGCTTCAAAGACAAACAAATCAACAAAGCAAAGTGAGCACGAGAAGGAAACATATAATATGATAATCTTACTTGCTTCTTCCAAGCGTCATTCATACTCTTAAGTCGCTTCATCACGTTCGACAGCTCCTGATCGTACTCCTTCAAAACCGCGCTGTGATGAGTGCTCAGATCGTCAACGTACTTCTCCAGAACTCTATGTTCCCTTTCCAATTGCTTCAACTTTTCGATCAGGAACTTGTTAAGCGACGTCGTAGAAGAGCCATGGGAACCACCGGTGGAACCTCCTGCGGGACCAGCGTTCGTAGGACCACCAGGCGTTGTTGATGCGTCCCTTTTGTCTCCTACATCCGGCTTTCGTGAAGGATCGCCACCAGAGTCTTCATTGCTCTTCCTGCCAATCCAACCTTCCAGCATGCGTTCGATCGCGACTCCAAACACCTCGACGGCGCTAAGCGTGCAGTAAAACTCCGCCCCATAGTGAGACAGTATCCTCAGCTTGAGATACCTCGCCCACTCCGGCTTCGGCAGCACAAACCTTTGAGGTTGCCTCACGTTCTCCGCCTCGAACTTCCCCAAGAGCTTCCACTCCTCGGTTGGAAACATCAGGCTCCCCAGCAGCTCCAGCTCCCTTGGATTGGACGAGTAGAGCTCGTAGTTGGCGATGACGATTGTGTCCACCAGAGTCTCCTCGGAGAGCTCCACAACCACGAACTTGTCCTCGGCACTGCATGGGTTGCGAAAGTACTTATCGTTGTCCTTGACAAGAATGTTGCCACCACCCTTGCCGTCCTTGTTTGAGCTCACAACTTTCGCACCGTGCGAGGCTGCGGCAAAGTTGTATTCCTTGCCCTCGGCTTCGAGCTTGTGCCGGACAGTGGTATTCTCCTCGACTGGATTCTCGTTTGCCGAGGCCTCAATCGTCGCCTGTCGCTTGTACTCGTCCAAACCAACGAGAGAAAAACGCACCGTCTTTCGTTCTTCCCCTGAAACCACTAGCTCTGTGCCAAGCTCCAGTTCTTCTCCCTTGCTAGAATTCTGGTGCACGCGATCAAAGGCAGTGACTTCTTCCCCCTTGCTAGAATTCTGGAAAGTTCTATCAGCTCAGACGAACAAAGAAAAAAAAACGAGAGAAGAAAAAGCCGGAGAACCTACCTCAGTGAACAGAGCTGGAAATTTTTCTTCGGCAAGATCCCTCTCATTAGTTATGTCATTGATTAGATTGGATGGAATCTCAAGGAGCTGTTCGTCCGACTCGACAATCTGGTGCTGCGCTTCCGAAATCTCCGCGATTGAATGCTCATCGGGCTCCGGATCCCCGGAATGGAGCTCGATCCCAATCCCCGGTCCCGACGCGTAGCAGAAGAACAAGATTACAAGGAGCACGAGCGCCGCAAGACGTAGATCGCTCACCATACCGTGTCAAGATCCGGCGATCGATCGACGAAAGAACCTAGATCGGCGTCGCTATAAACCCTAGCCCGCGCCAAACAAGACGCAAGAACACATCCCTGAAATACCCGCCTTATGGGAGAGTATCGATGCCTTGTCCATCGCCACCACATAGCTGGCGTTGCGCTGGCAGGATTCGACCCTGGCACCTGTGGACGTTCGCAAGCATCACGTACGCATATGCCCCCCCATTACCCGCGGGATTCAAATTTAAAATCCCCTCCGCCGCGGCGGCGCCGCGCCGGGCATCGCCGTAGCTCCTGGCGGCCGCCAGGACGCTCGTCCACTCCCACACGTCCGGCACGAAGGGCATCTGCGCGATTAGGTCTAGGGCATCCGCGAGATAGCCGGCGCGCGCGAGGAGATCCACCACGCAGCAGTAGTGCTGCTTGGTGGGATCCATGGCGTAGTCCGATCGCATCGCCAGGAACCAGCGGCGCGCTAGCGAGAGCTTCCCAATGTGGCTGCAAGCGATGAAGATCGAGGCGAAGCAAGCAGCATTCGGCAGATCCGTGAGCGCCATTGCAGCGAAGACCCCAAATGCGTTCCAGGACCGGCCCTTGTGAGCGTAGGCGGCGATCATCGCGCCCCACGAGGCGGCGCTGAGCATCGGGAGTCTCTCGAAGAGCTGGGCGGCGGCGGTGGCGGAGGGCGTACGAGACTGTACGGCGAGCATCGCGTTCCAGGAGACATCGTCCTGCTGGGGCATTTGCTGGAATATCTGGCGGGCGTGACGGAGATGCCCGCCCTGGGCATATGCCGTCAGCATCGAGTTCCAGGAGACAAGGCTCTGCTGGGGCATGTCGTCAAACAAAGCTTTGGCCTCGCGGATATTCCCTGCTTGGGCATATCCCGTCACCATGGTGGTCCACGATACCAGGTCCTGCGCTGGCATCCCGTCAAACATTCTCTTGGCATCTTCCAGATCCCCATTCCGTACATAGGCCGAGAGCATCGCGTTCCACGAGATTAGACTCCGCTCGGGCATCGTGTCAAACGTGTGCTTAGCCTCTTCCGTACGGTGGTTCTGGGCATATGCCGACAGCATCGCGTTCCAAGACACAAGGTTCCGGTCGGGCATCGAGTCGAAGAGACTCTTAGAATCTTCCAGATGCCCCTTCTGAGCATATGCCACGAGTATAGCCGTCCAGGATACCAAGTTTTGCTCTGGCATTTTGTGAAAGACGTCCTTTGCCTTTTCCAGCATCTCATTCTGGGAATATGCCGCAAGGAGGGCGTTCCAAGAGACTTGGCTGTGCTCGGGCATGGAATCAAACGCGCGCTGGGCCTCTTGCGGATGCCCGTTCTGGGAGAACGCCGAGAGGATCGAGTTCCAAGTGACGAGATTCCTCTCCGGCATGGCATCAAAGATCTTTCGAGCATCATCAAGGTCTCCGTTCTGCGAGAAAGCCACCAGCATTGCCGTGTAGGAGATGAGATCCCACTCGGGCATGGAATCAAAGACGCGCTTCGCATCGTCAAAATGCCCATTCTGGGCAAATGCCGTGAGAAGAACATTCCACGACACAACAGTCCTCTGCGGCATCCGATCGAAGAGCCGCTTCGTCCCCTCGATGTTTCCATTCTGCGAGTAGGCCGTGAGCATCAAGATCCACGAGTGATAGTCCCGGATCGCCATGCCATCGAAGACCTCTCGCGCGAGAGCTGTGCTGCCGCATCGCCCATAGAGCTCCAGGAGCTTGTTAAAGACGTAGGAATCCCCGGGCTTGATGAAAGGGAGAATCTTCCCGTGGATCTCCCGCGCCTCTTGAATACTCGTCCCGCAAGATCGGATACGCAGTACGTACTCATCCCTCTGCGTTGGCGCCATGCCATCGCATGGCCACGTGGCGCAAGAACAGCTTGCCACGTGACACTGAAGTAGACTTGGCAGGCACTACGTGTCAGCATTTCCACTGCGTCGATCGGACAGCATTTCAGCTTAAGAGCTCCACGGGAAAAACGAGCGCGTGTGTGTTCTTGCTGGCTATGGAGGATCCAAGCTATCACGAGCTCCCGGATCAGCCGGAAGAGGAGAGGTCGCAGAGGCAATCAGGGCTTTGCGAGGCAAGGACTGTCGCGAAGCTGTGCTCCCTGATTAGCGTGTTCCTGGCGCTCGTGATCCTCGTGTTCTTTCTGTGGCCCCGGGATCCGGAGCTGGAGGTCGTAGGGCTTGATTTCAAGGGCTTGAATCTCAACACCACCGGCGGCGTCCACCTGGATGTGGATCTCCGCCTGGAGATCCAGGTGGAGAATCCCAATTTCTTCGCTGTGGATTACGATCGCGTCACGGTGAGGATCTACTACCATGGCGATGAGCTCGGCCATGTCGATTCGGCGGGCGGCAGCGTCCCGGCGAGGAGGACGGTCAATCTCACCGCCAATGCGACGCTCCAAGGGCTGGAGATCGTCAAGAACGCAATACGGCTGATCGCGGATGCGAACAAGGAGAAGATTCCAGTGAGCGTCGCGGCGGGATTCGATGGAAATCTCGAGATCCTGGCGATCCATCCATCCATCAAGGTGGGGCTTTGCTCTTCTAGAGCCTAGGGTTTATCGATTTTCGATGATTCCAGGTAGCAATCTCTTGCGATCTTGTCGTGGATCCCCGCAACAACACGATCCTGAGCCAGGAATGCGGCAATCAACACATCTCCTTGCTCGTCCCCGCGAGCGCGACGAGCGCTCCGCGAAATCTCCAGCGAGTTATCCCCGGATTCCCCGACTGGGCCTTCATCACGATCGCGGTCGTCCTAGGGCTCTTGGTTCTAGGCGGATTGGCGTGGCTGCTGTGGCCCAAGCCCCCGGAGATCACCGTCGAGAGCGTCCAGCTGCTAGGGTTCTCCACGAACAGCAAGTTCCCAGACAACTCCATGATCCCGGAGGTGGTCCTGGACGTCAATCTGGGCGTGAATCTTCGCGTGAGGAACAGGTATGTGATCGGCGTGCGCTACGATCGCATGACGGTCTATGTCGACTACTACGGCTACGAGATGTGCAAGGGCGAGCTCGAGGGCGGCGAGATCCCGGCGCGAGGGAGCGTGGAGGTGAGCGGCACGATCGATCTCCGCGGCGCCGAGATCGTCTATAACTCGGCCCAGCTACTCGCGGATGTGTCGCGGCGCGAGCTCCCGATCCACCTGCGCATAGGGTTCTATGGGAATGTGGGAGCCTCGTTTTTCAGGCCCCCCATCAAGGTAAGATCTTCTACCTCTCGATCGATCTTTGTGATGAAATTCTCTTTCGCACGCAGGCCTCAGTGAACTACGATATATTGGTCGATCCAGTGAGCCAAGAGATCTTAAAGCAGGACTACGAGTTGCCGAAGGTCTCCATGTAAGCCCTGGCCACGTAAGCCCTGGCCGCGTTGTATATGCCACGTGGTGTATAAGTCCAGCCACGTGGGTTATATATTTATTTAATATGACGCGGCAAGACTTTCTAGTCAAACGCGACTATTACGGAACGTTGACGGGTCCTCCGTTTCCATCGAACACTCGATGGAAGTTCTCGGCTATGGCGGCTTGCCTGCGCTCGTGGTTTCGTGGATCTTTTTCTTCTCTCGAGCGAGTTCGCAGTTCCTGGAGGCCGATGCGCTGCTGGAGTTCAAGCGCAGCGTGGTACCGAGTGGCGGCGGCGGCGCTCTCGCGGATTGGAGCGCGGGCTCGCGGCAGCTCGTGTGCAATTGGACGGGGATCACCTGCGATGGCGGTGGCAGAAGCGGGAGGTCCATCGCCAGGATCGATTTGGGCGGTCTCCAAATCGGTGCTAGCGTGGCGATGGGTGATCAGAGCGTCAACATTGCGCCCCTCCTGGGCGGCGGCTTGCGAGGTTTGGTCTTTCTCAACCTCTCGGCCAATCTTCTCCGCGGAGCTCTGCCGCCCAGCCTAGAGCTCTGCTCGCCATCGATCGCAACGCTGGACCTCAGCTCTAATGGCTTGGGAGGAGCGATCCCTCCATCTCTGGGGAATTGCTCGGGGCTCCAGGAGCTCGACCTCAGCCATAACAATCTCACTGGAGGGCTCCCAGCTTCCATGGCGAATCTCTCCAGCCTCGCCACCTTCGCGGCGGAGGAGAACAATCTCACCGGCGAGATTCCATCCTTTATCGGCGAACTCGGCGAGCTCCAGCTCCTGAATTTGATCGGCAATAGCTTCTCGGGTGGAATCCCTCCATCGCTCGCCAATTGCTCGCGCCTCCAGTTCCTCTTCCTCTTCCGCAACGCCATCACGGGAGAGATCCCTCCATCGCTCGGTCGCCTCCAATCGCTGAAGACTCTGGGCCTGGACAACAATTTCCTCTCGGGACCGATACCGCCATCTCTGGCCAATTGCTCCTCGCTCTCGCGGATCTTGCTCTATTACAACAACATTACCGGCGAGGTCCCTCTGGAGATTGCGCGAATTCGCGGCCTCTTCACGCTGGAGCTCACGGGAAACCAGCTCACGGGATCGCTCGAGGATTTTCCAGTGGGCCATCTCCAAAACCTCACTTACGTATCGTTTGCGGCAAACGCTTTTCGCGGCGGCATTCCCGGAAGCATCACGAATTGCTCCAAGCTTATCAACATGGATTTCTCGCGAAACTCTTTCTCGGGAGAGATCCCGCACGATCTTGGAAGGCTCCAGAGTTTGCGGAGCTTGAGACTCCATGACAACCAGCTCACAGGTGGAGTTCCTCCAGAGATTGGCAGCTTGAACGCTAGCTCTTTCCAAGGCTTGTTCCTCCAGAGAAACAAGCTGGAAGGAGTGCTTCCAGCGGAGATTTCTTCGTGCAAATCACTCGTGGAGATGGATCTCAGTGGAAATCTCTTGAGCGGGAGCATACCCAGGGAATTATGTGGCCTCTCCAATCTAGAGCACATGAATCTCTCGAGGAATTCCCTGGGTGGTGGGATACCCGACTGCTTAAACGCGTGTTTCAAGCTCACTTTGCTGGATCTCTCGTCGAATTTGTTTGCTGGAACCATTCCTCGATCGCTCTTGAATTTTCCAAGCATGGCTCTTGGATTCTCTCTGGCTGGAAACCGGCTCCAAGGGACAATACCGGAGGAGATTGGAATCATGACGATGGTGGAGAAAATCAATCTCTCCGGGAATAACCTTTCTGGAGGAATTCCACGCGGAATTTCCAAGTGTGTTCAACTCGACACTCTTGATCTCTCTTCCAACGAGCTCTCTGGCCTTATCCCCGACGAACTTGGCCAGCTTAGTAGCCTTCAAGGTGGTATATCTTTTAGAAAAAAAGATTCTATCGGTCTCACTCTCGATACTTTTGCAGGCCTGGATCTATCTAACAATCGCCTGACTGGAAAGATTCCCGTGTTCTTGGCCAAGTTGCAAAAGCTCGAGCACTTAAATCTCTCCTCCAACAATTTCTCCGGTGAAATACCATCTTTTGCTAATATCTCCGCAGCGTCTTTCGAAGGAAATCCAGAGCTCTGCGGGAGAATCATCGCAAAGCCATGCACGACGACGACGAGATCTCGCGATCATCATAAGAAAAGAAAACTTCTTCTAGCACTCGCGATCGGAGCCCCGGTTTTACTCGCTGCCACGATTGCAAGCTTCATATGTTGCTTCTCTTGGCGTCCATCCTTTCTTCGAGCCAAAAGCATCTCCGAAGCAGCACAAGAACTCGATGATCAGCTGGAACTCAGCACAACACTGCGAGAGTTCTCCGTGGCCGAGCTCTGGGACGCCACCGATGGATACGCCGCGCAAAACATTCTCGGCGTCACGGCAACCTCAACCGTGTACAAGGCCACCTTGCTCGATGGAAGCGCCGCAGCCGTGAAGAGATTCAAGGATTTGCTCTCGGATTCGATCAGCTCCAATTTGTTCACAAAAGAGCTCCGGATCATCCTGAGCATCCGGCACCGCAACCTCGTCAAAACGCTGGGCTACTGCCGCAACCGATCGCTCGTCCTCGACTTTATGCCGAATGGAAGCCTGGAAATGCAGCTCCACAAGACGCCCTGCAAGCTCACTTGGGCGATGCGTCTCGACATCGCGCTGGGGACCGCTCAAGCGCTCGCGTACCTCCACGAGAGCTGCGATCCTCCGGTTGTCCACTGCGATCTCAAGCCTAGCAACATCCTCCTCGACGCAGACTATGAGGCTCATGTCGCCGACTTTGGCATCTCCAAGCTCTTGGAGACGAGTGAGGAGATCGCGAGCGTATCGCTCATGCTTCGAGGCACTCTTGGATACATCCCACCAGGTGTGCTTTCTTTAAGTTCTTCCGATCTTTCCAATCTTTCTAAACTTCGCAACTTTGATCTGTGACCACAGAATATGGCTATGCCTCGAAGCCATCCGTGAGAGGCGACGTCTACAGCTTTGGAGTGATTTTGCTGGAACTAATCACTGGATTGGCACCCACGAACAGCTTGTTTCATGGTGGCACGATTCAGGGCTGGGTTTCTTCTTGCTGGCCGGATGAGTTTGGTGCAGTCGTGGATAGATCAATGGGGTTGACGAAAGATAACTGGATGGAGGTGGAACAGGCCATCAACTTGGGATTGCTGTGCTCGAGCCACAGTTACATGGAGCGTCCATTGATGGGCGACGTAGAGGCTGTGCTGAGAAGAATAAGATCAGGAGGGAGCAGCAGCACGAGGAAAGAAATGACACTAGATGACCTTGCAAAGAGTCCTGGTTTCGTCATAAAACCCCGGTAAAAAACAAGGAAAATTCTGCTTAGCATAGTTTTAGCATCTATTTGGGAACAAGATTGAAATTAATGATAATTGCATGACTTGCAAGAGAATCGCAAGAGATCATTGCATGACTTACTCAGAGTAAGGTTCTATGCTTCACAGTGGGACGACCATAAGGACTATAAACATTAAATTAATAATTACGAAGTCCGAGGATCAACTTCTAGGTTGTAAAGTCCAAGTCTCGATTCTTTCACCGCGTCTAACAGTAAAAATGACGGTAGACGAATTCACACAATTAAATTTACTGTAGAAATCTTTTAAAAGGACAAAATCAAGAGTGTGAGGTCCAAGTGAGCATATTTCCAAATTGTAGACAGAAGATTACACTTTTTACAACTTTTTGTTTGATCGATTCCATCCTTCTGACACGTCCAGTACTCTCACTCCTTCTGCTCCAGTGCCGAAGGATCCATCTCCTCCTCCCGACAGCTTCGTTTTCGATCTTCCAGTCAGCTTCTTACTCCGTCGTCTGATTCACCTGGTGACCTCCTCCTCTTGGGCTTCTCGATTCTCCATAAAAATTTTGCTGCTCCCGATCTCCAGGATCACGGTCTCGAACTCTAGACTGGATGACTCGGCGTGAGATCGGCATTGCAGCGATACTTACACTGGATCGAGCAGTAGAGCGATTGTGAGGAGCACCCTCTTGCAATGTTGTCGTTGATCTTGAACGTCTGGTGTTGATCAGGGGCGTGATTCCGCAAACCTTGAACACCGGGAACCTGGATGCGCTCATGAGATGCAGGACGTTTGGTTCTTTGCACTCCTTCCAAAGGCTTCTCGCTTTCTCGCAGGCTTTTGATAACCCAGGGTGGCGCCTGGATGGATCGGGCAACACCTGAAGAAGTTCGTCAAACAAGCAGCCGAGGAAGCTCAGGTTTCATCCGGATCTTTTAGGGCATTACTTTTTTGGAAATATCCTTTTTCCTGGGGGACGTGTAGAACGAGTGATTATTACGAACAAGAGAAAGTATCTAGTTCTTTGGACGGGATTTCCAGTGGCTTCAGCGACATGGGAGATTCGAGAACGTCCCGTAAAGGTCTATACGAAGCCAAGCTGAGACAGCACTTGAATTGCGTCCATCGTCACGAAAAAGAGAAAGTTGGTCACCTTGCCAAATCTTAATGGCTCTTGTATATCGCGATAGAAATATGTATAAAATACCGCAATTTGTCCGAATCCAAACCTATGCCATTAAATTTTGTTAATCGACTATAAACTTGTTTATCAAAATATATCTAATCAATATTTTAAACTTGGTAAGCTATATGATTCAAATTCACTAATGCATAGTCTATGACCACAAGACCCTGTGTCTCAGCATCACCTCCACGAGAGCTGAGATCCTTTGGTTTCTCCAACCCTTGGCACAAACTTATGCAAGTGAAAGATGTTGATATATAAATTTATTTTTCCAATTTTTTTGAAAGTTTTAAAATAAAAATTTTCAAGTGTGAATAATTAATAAAACTTTCCTATTTTGCTTCCTAGCATCACCCACATTTTGTTTAAACAGATGAAAGGTCATTGAAACATATACCTTTATTTATAGCCAGTTATAAATTACTGGTTATATTTATAACCAGTAACCTTTTACTGGTTAAGCAACGTTATATTATTGAGTACAAACTTATTGGAAACATTGTACCAAGGCCAAATCTTCTATGCAACAAAACATTATACACAAATTTGCTTTTGTCCAGCAAAAATTTAGCGATGAGATGTAGCGATGACAATTAGTGAGAACATCAGTAAGATGTTCTAGTTTACAACCAAGAAGAGAAATAAGAAAAAAAAAGACACCGACCAAGGTTATACTGTCTACTGCGACTTCTTCTCGGGCCCCCGAGCAGTGGCGGACGATTGCTCCTTCTCTTTGTAGTACTCGTCCCTGTCCTGGAAGTAGCGCTCGAAAGCTCTGGGCAAAAACAGGGGGATCAAAAATCCCAGCAGATTGACGGAGTAGAACACGTAATTGGCGATGGCTAAACTCCGTCCAAACCACACCCACGCAGCTTTCTTGGGGGGTAAACAAAAACCAAGGAATGTCAAAAGAAAAATGAGAGAGAGAACTCCCATACCTGGAAATCATGTTGAGGTGGTATACTCGCCTTCAAGGTGACGTGAACCCACGAAGACAAGGCAACGATCCGGCGACCAGTGTAGATGATGGGCAGGAGAGCTCGCACCGGGAGGCTGAAGAGCTCAAGCCCACTGATCAAGTTCTCGCTGAGAATCTGGACCGAGAGCAGGAAGAGGTGTGGAGTGGCGGCTCGCACGGATGCCTGGTCACCCCTTGCAAATCCCCCTAGAACATAGCCCAGCGGCAAGAACAAGCCAAGCACAGTCCCCAAGATCACGTAGAGCTGGAAGAGGCGGCTCCCCTTAAACACGGGCGCGGTGCTCCTGCGTCTGTGGTAGTTTGGGAACACCACCGATCCCAGGAAGAGCGCGTACAAGGATGCAAAAACCGGGAATGCAAGATCCAAAAGAGGGACTAACCCGCTGGCCGAGAAGACAACGATGAACGCCACGAGCTGCAGCTGAATGACGCGGAGCGATCCCGTGACCCCGCCCAGCGAGCCCGACTCCTGGGCGAGCTCCTGGAGACCGCCGTGAGCTCTGCCCCCTGGCGCCACTCTCGACCCCGCCGCTAGCGTGGAGCCCGACATGATCCTCGCTTTACTGCTTGCTCGATGGAATGGATGGGATGGAGGGAGGGATCGAAGGCGAAGAGCTAAAACACAGAGAGAGAAAACACTTGTCAAGCCTCAAGCTAACCTAATTTGGATGTAGATGAAAGTTCCTGCCTGAAATTGCAAGACTGAGAATTAACATGATTAAAGAAGAGTAGATTCTTTATCCGCATCCTGAAGGAAGCGACCGGGCATTGCGTTCTACTCTGGGATGGAATCCAGCCTCCTGCATGGACCTCATAGTTGCTTCCGCGAGTTCCTCCTCCATATCACCTCTAACTTCACATCTTTCTTCGTCAGGCACTCGAAAAAAAACCTGAAAATCACCCTCTGCTTTAAGCAACCTTTTAGACAAGATATATATAGCAAAACCCTAATATAAACACCTTTAAGAAAGTCCTAATTTCCATAGTTCCATTATTTATTGTTCGCCAGCTTTCATAGTCTCGTAGATGTTGGAGATGAGCACGAAGCCAGCGCCCTCCACTGGTCCGCCTTCCAATTCCTGCAAGCTCTCAAACGCCACCTTGGCCACCTCCACATTCTTCCACTTCCAGCAAGCGCCCAAGATGGTGGTCCAAGTGATCTCGTTGGCTTGGCACGGCATCGCCTTGGCCATCGCCAGAGCAGCCTCCAATCGGTTGTAGCGCGAGAGCATGTCGATCACGCAGTGGTAGTGCTCGATCCCGGGGCTGCTTCTGGACAACATCTCCCGGAAGAACTCCTCGCCCCTGTGCACCAGACCGGCGTGGCTGCAAGCCGAGAGAACGCTCGTCCAGGTGATGGCGTCCACCCGGTGTCCCTCGTCTAGCATCCGCTGGAACCAGTGAAACACCTTCTCGGTGTCGCCATGCCGGCTGTAGCCGGCTATCAGCGCGTTCCAAGTCACTGGATTCCTCGTCGAGGCGCTAGAATGGTCGAAAACCCGCTGCGCTCGATCCATGCTCCCAGACTTTCCATAGGCGTCGAGCAGGCAAGTCTCCAGGGTGCTGTTCTCCATCCCTGACCGGTAGATCCTGGCGTGGATTCCCACCGCGGCTTGGATCGCGGCGATGGCTCCGCAGGCCTTGAGCGCCGCCAGGAAAGTGAGAGCGTTTGGAGCGCCGCCCTGTGCGTCCATGGAGTCGAGCAGCTCCAGACCTATGGCGGGCTCTCCGTTGTCTGCGTATCCCGCCATGAGCGACGTCCACGAGACCACGTCGTGGACCTCCATGCCGAGGAAGAGTCTGCTCGCGTCCGCCATGCTGCCACACTTCGCGTACATGTCCACCAGAGTGCCGTAGACGAACATGTCCATGCCGCCACTGCTGCCGGCTGCTTGCGCGTGAATCGCCATTCCTTTTTCCAGGCTCTCCGCTTTGACGAGCTTCCCATTCACTAGAGTTCCCTGTTCTTTTGCTGCGAGGTTCGTGCAGGCCTTCAGTGCCGCGGCGTAAGTCCGGACGTCGGGGACGACACCTTGAAGCTTCATGGCGTCGAAGAGCTCCAAAACCACCTGTTCCTCGCCGCTCTCTGCGTACCCGAGCAGCAGTGAGTTCCAAGACGCGGAGTTGTGGACCGGCATCTTTCCGAAGACTTCCCGAGCGTTTGTCATGCTCCCACACTTTGTGTACAAGTCAAGCAGTGTGCTTGTGACGAGCAGGTCCAGTCCATATCCCTGTTTCGATGCCTGAGAGTAAATCTCCATTCCGGTCTTCAGAGCCTGCTGTTTCACAAGCTTCCCATCGACCTGTGTCCCCACTTCTTTCACAGCAACGCTTGTGCAGCCCCTGAGCGCCGCAACGAACGTCAAAGCATCGAGCAGGAAGCCTTGCTCAAGTTTCAGGCGTTCATAAAACTCGAGAGCCAGCTCACCTTCGTTGTTCTCGGCATAGCCCAGTATCAGCACGGCCCACGAAACCAGCGTGCGCGGAGATATCCCCTCAAACACCTTGAGAGCATCTGTTACGCTTCCACACTTCATGTACATGTCCAGCAAGGTGTTGGCGACCAGGATGTCCGATGCACGGCCGAGCTCTACTGCCTGTGAGTGAAGTTCCTGTCCCTTCTGCAAGGCCGCTGTTTTAATGAGCTTCCCATCAACTTTTCTCCCGTCTTCCTTAACTGCCAGACTGCCACTAGCCTTGAAAGCAGCCACGAACGATAGAGAATCCGGCGGACAGTCCATCTGTGATAATGAACTTAAAGCTTGCTCGGGTTGTCCGTTGTCGCTAAAGCCGAGCATCAGTGCGTTCCAGGAGACTACGGTACGTCGAGGCATCTTGGCAAATACTTTCCACGCATCGATCATGCTCCCGCAGCTCGCATACATGTCTATCAGAGTGTTTGCGAGGAAGATGTCCGAGTCACAACCGATCTTTGAAGCTCTTGAGTGGAGAGCTATGCCTTTCTTCAAACTTTCAACTTTCAAGCTCTGTCCGTCAACTTCCTTGCTGTCTTCCCGTGCGGCCAAGAGATTGCAGGCCTTAAAAGCAGCAATGAAGGTTCTGGAGTTTGGCAGGCAGTCTTCAGCAGCCATCCGAGAGAATGAGTCAAGAGCCAGTTCAGCTTCCCCGTTTTCAGCATAGCCCAGCGTCAACACTGTCCAGGAGACTACGCTCAGTGAAGGTATCCACTCAAGGACGGCTCGAGCTTCCACCAGACGTCCACACTTGAAGTACATATCCATCAGAGTGTTGACTACTAGGATGTCTGAATCGAATCCATAGGCTGCTAGTTGAGAGTGGACACGGACACCGTTCCTAAAACACGCGGCCTTGCCATCAACTTTCTTTCCTTCTTCTTCCTTGAGCACTAGACCGACGCAGGCCTTCAAAGCCGCAACAAAAGTTAGAGCATTTGGTCGACAACCTTTGGCTTTCATACCTTCGAAGATAACCAAAGCCAAGTCCGGTTCCCCGTTATCAGCATACCCCAGGATCAATGCAGTCCAGGACACTACATCGTGACCTCGCATCGAGTCGAAAACTCTGCGTGCGTCCAACATGCTCCCACACTTTCCATACATATCCACGAGTGTGTTGGAGACGTAAGTATCCTCAACAAAACCTCTGGTTGCCGCTTGCGAGTTAAGAACCATCCCTTTCTCTAGTGACTGTATCTTCACATTTAGTGGACTGCCATCTTCTCCATCAGCAACACTTGAGCAAGCCTTGAGAGCAGCGACAAAGGTTCTAGCACCCGGAGAGAATCCTTCCTTTTCCATTCCTTCAAACAGCTCCAGAGCCACCTGAGCCTCCCCATTCTCTTCGTGTGCCAGTATAATGTTGTTCCATGCCACCACGTCTCGGCACTTCATCTTGTTGAAAACATTGCAGGCGTCCACCAGGCTACCACATTTTGAGTAAACAGTCACCAGCGTGCTTGCAACAAAGAGGTCCGACTCGTGTCCACTCTCGATTATATCAGCGTGAATTTTCTTCGCCCTTGAAAGATCTCGCGAGCTCATGCACAGCTTCAGTGCGTATAGGACTGAGGATATGCTCCTTTTGACCATATCTGCTGCAAAATGAGACAGTGAGACGAAAGTTTTCATGGCAAGAACAGCTTACTTGATTTTCTTTTTTTATTTTGGCTACTGTCGCTGGGTCATCTTACTCCTCTATGTATCCTATTAAATCGCACAGTAATCAAAACAACCAGAGAATATATGGCAGGAAACAACAGACAGGGAAATCGTTGAAAGACGAGATGCAGCAAGAAAACAGAACATTACTATTGCTTGAAGATTAACCTGGGCATCATTTTACTTCGTGCTCTCCTCTATCCACTTGAGATACGCCGGATTTCCACCCTGGATCGGAAGAGCAATTACCTCAGGGGTCCTGCAATTACGCAGACAAGTAAGCAAAGAACTCAAAACATGCGAAACTCTTACTTGTAAGAGTGGCTCTGAATCACATGTGCAGTAAGCTCGTCCAGCAAACTTTTCTTCGTCTTTATTATCAGCAACACCTCCGAGTCCGTTTCGACCTTTTTAAAACCAAGATGAAACAAGAAAAAAAGTTGGAATTGCGTCCAAAGAATTTGTACCTTGCCTTCCCACCAATATGTAGATTCAATACCTGTTTAAATAAGAAAATACATGAATGAAAGAATTCTTTGTAGCATCTCAAATTTTTTCTTACCGGGGATTTGATTGACACAGGCGGCGAGCTTCTTGGTGATGATACTCGACGCCAATTTGGATCCTGGAACAATCATCTAGCATAAATACAAAGAAACCGGCCAAAAAAGCTATTGTGGACCTTCTTCCTTGTTGGGAACTGTCACATAAACAACGATGGAAGGGGCTGGAGCGGCCTGGGATTCATGAGCCATGGCCCTGGATTGATGGTACTTCACGCCGGAGGAAGAAGAGGCCTGCGAGACTCGGCCGATCAGCGGGCTGCCAAAATTCCAAAAGCTCAGTAGCAGCAGCACACCGCTAGCACCCAGAATCACAACGTCTATGCGCATTGGAAAATGCAGGGATGGAATCGCCTAGGGAAGCAAGATGGAGAATAGAATGCGATGTTTTTGCCGGCTTACCTCAAGAAGCGCGGAAGCGCGGAGGGATTGCCGAGGAGAGCGCCGCTAGCCGCACGAAAATCCTGCACAGGAGGCGTGGGAATCGGAGAAGAGAGGGCGCGGCGCTGCGCTTACCGCCAAGAACACGGGCGAGTGAAGAAGCATCGATGGAAATATTTTGATTTTAGGGTTTATGTGTACTTGCTAGGTTGTGGAGAGGGCGCCATGGACGCGCAGAAGCAAATCAGAGAGAACACGCAGGTAGGAGCTCTTAGCTGGATCGATCGCTCAAAAAAGATCTCGATTTCCACAGGAGCTTCACGATTTTCTCAGAGGATTGCAAGACTGGGAAAAAGAAGTGAAGAACAAAGACAATGAGCTCAAGACGAAGTCTCAGGATCAAGTGAAAGAGGTATTGAGGAGCGACAATGCTTGCATTGGTTCTGAGAATCGAGCTTATTTCTTTGCAGTTGCGTCCCGTGAGAGAGAAGAAGAGAGCTCAAGCTCAAGCAGCTCCTTCTGTGAATGCTGCAAAGCATACTTACGATTACTTCCGGGACAAGTGGGACAAATTTGATGTGGTGAGTGGTGATAGAATTTCTTCTTCTTTTTTGGTTTCTTCTTCTTTGTTCTGACCAAAGCTTTAGTAGGATGCTGCATTGCGAGAGGTTGACGAGGAAAACGAGCAAGAGAAAGTGGCATCCAAGTCTAAAGAAAATGACTATGCGGCCAAAGGTACTCCACAGACTTTCTCCAACGAGGCTGTCCAGCCTGATTTCGAGAAAGGCTCCCTCCCCGATGCTGTAACGGAGAAAGAACTTGTGAGTTGAGATGAAGGAAAATATGTTCTTTCTTTCTTTTTTGCGTGGTTAACACTGGCTTTCCAGGGAAACGAACTTTTCAAGGAGAAGAAGTACGTGCAGGCGATTGAGTGCTACTCGCGGAGCATTGGCTTGCATCCAACAGCCGTGGCTTATGCCAATCGGGCCATGGCACTCTTGAAAATCAGAAGGTATACTGATTTTTGCTATTCATGTGCTTATGTGCTGTAAGTTTAGATACGAGGATGCTGAAATGGATTGCTCAGAGGCTATCGCACTGGATGATCGCTACACGAAGGCATATGCAAGACGAGGTACAGCCAGAAGAGAACGGGACAAACTTTTGGGAGCTGTTGAAGGTAGCCATTTTCTTATATTTCTATGAACACTGACGCCAAGCACATTTCTATTCGTAGACTTTGAATTTGCTCTCCGGCTGGAACCGCACAACAAGGACCTTCAAAAGCAGTACGAAGAAGCAAAAGCTTTGTATGAAAAGGTGCGTTGAGAGTTCAGTGTTCAGTGGAGGTTTCTCACACGGTTTCTCTTGTAGAAGAATGCTTATCGCCCACCCGAAGATAAAGTAACACTTCAAGTCCAGAGATCGTCCATCAAAGCCGTTAATGGAGCCGAGAGCATGAAGAAGACCTCCTCCCAAACTTCAAACGGCAAGCAACCGGTTCGAAAGAGTTTAATATCTCTTGCCAAAAAAAGCTAAACTCGTTGCTTGTGATTTCCAGGTAAAAGATGAAGCGGCGATGCAAGCGTCGACGATCCGGGCTGCAGCAACTGCTATGAACGCTGTCACGCAACACATGGTGGCTCCCAAGACATCTTACGAGTTTGAGACGCTATGGAGAGGCTTTGGTGACGACGTTGGAACCAAAGCACGCCTGTTGAAGGTAATTCACAGAGCCTCAAAAGTTTTCCTTTTTTTCTAAGGCAGGAGTATTGCAAGTGCAGCTCATGGATCCTAATTCGCTGCCCAAAGTTTTTCGAGACGCTCTGAGCGCTACGTTGATGGTGGACATTATAAGAACTCTAGACACAATGGTCAAGTAAGATTTTGGCTATGTTTTTTGGATCGTTTAGTCAGCTCGTAAGTTTGTTTTGCAGCGAGGATACTGTTTTGGTTGCTCAAGTTCTTGATAATCTCACCAAAGTTGGCCGCTTCAGCATGACAATTATGTGCTTGAGCCACAACGACAAAAGTGGTGAGCAATCTTTAGTTCCAGAGAATGTTTTCTTCTCTTTGGTATTGATAGTGAAATCTTTGCAGTGATCCAAAAGCTCTGGGAAAAGCTTCCTGCTCCTGTGGAAGATCTAGAAAAATGGGAAGCTCTACGAAAGAAATATAGAGTTTGAGGAGACACAATCAATGCAAAGGTGTGGAAAAATTGATAGTCTTTATTCTTCGATGAATCACAGCTTGAGACTTTTCATCCAGACGGTCAAGCTTGGCTCGTCCGTCTTGACGAATTTCACCTTCAACCTCGCGCGTTGCTCCGGTGTCAACTCCCGCAATTGTGGAAATCTAGACTCCTGGAATGCAAGAGCTCGATAGTATCAAAACGTAGGACAAAACAACGGACCTGTTCGTATGGCGGATCGTCGTGAGCGGGAATTAATCTCGCCTGCAAGTATCTTGCCTGTGAGCTTCCCTCCTGAGTGTTCAAAACAAAACTTCATAAGTGAAACAAAAAGTTTAGACCACCTTGAAAGTAAGCATCCTCGGCACAGGAAATCGAGTCTCCGTTATCTCCCGGACGAATTCCTTGCAAGCCGAGAAGGCCACCACATTTCGCTTCTCATCTTGACAAAGCTCATGTCCCTGGATAAAAGAAAGAACGTTTTCCCCTGCGAAAGATCGAGCGTTACTTACCAGCCAGATATGAACGTCGGTACCGTGATCTAAGATCAGTGCCGTCTGGGACTGCATCGCCAAGTTATAAGCCGGGACAGCCTCGAACGAGCCATTGTCGTGGAACAGATACACTCGCGGCACCACCATCCTCAGTGCAAGCTCATACGAAGCTTGGAGGAAGATGTTCCTGATCACCAGTCGCTCGTCTTCGTGGCCGACAATGCTTCCAAGCAGTGGACCACGACGCAAGTGGAACAGCGCCTCGGCCAGCTTTGTAATCTCCCTGGGGAATGGCGGTGCCCCGGCCCTTGGTCCAAACCTGGAGCGTATATCTTTCAGTCTCTGGTCGACTGAGAAGCGCAGCTCTGCCGCGTCCGCCATGCTCTTGGCTTCCAAGGCTGTCCTCTTGGCGATCAGGACCGCTGCGGCCTCCGGATTAATTCCTGTGAGGTACTTGGAAACGCTAGTCGTGACCGGCAGCCGCACTGTGATGACTCTCGTTATCCGAGCTTGGAAGGTGCCCGTGTAGCGGACCACGAACTGGAAGTACGCATAATCGTCGTGGAAGTTGCTCGTCAGCTGCATTGACAGGGCAAATCCTTGGTGTTCTTCCACGCTCATCATGCGCAGTGCCACCGCGGGCTCTCTTCCAAAAGACTCGGCCGCATCGGAGCTGGCGTCCTGTCCCGGCCCAATAACACTGCTAACTCCAATCCCTTCGCTGCATCGAACTTCCAGAGTCGCGCGAAGTCCCCCGGCTCTTGTAAACGATCTCTGGAGATTGAGGCCGAAAGCCTCTCCAAAGTCGTCGTGGAGCACCATCACACCCCCGGAAGCTTTCACCAGCGGCTCCAAAGTCACCGCTCTCACGGGACACGTCCCAGCGCACAGGACGTCCACGGCTGTGTCTGAAAGTCTGGCCTTGCGTCCCAAACGCTCCATATACTTGATAGAGTTCGCCTCGATATAAGCATAGTTTGGATGGTTCTCAAACTGTGGAAGAGATCCCGGACCGAGAGTATTCGGGCCTGCCGCGCAGACCAAGACATGGCTGTTACCACCCGATCGCTTTGCCATTATCTGCGTCGATGGACCCTGTATAAGCGCGAGAGCAACGTCCACGGCTGTTCCCAGGCACCGCGGTCTCCCTGCTTCTCTCAAGTTCCCGGAGTAAGGCCTCAGAGATGAGACGATCGTATGAGCGACTCCCAGACAAGTATGAATAGGCATGAGATAAATCCCTGTCCCGTATATCAGCATCTTGAGCAGCTCGTGGCTAGGAGCTACATCCCCCGGTATAACATCCGCCGCTGCGAGCGCAGTCTCGGAGAGATCATAGATGGAGACCGTCTTCCCATAAGTGATGATGCCTATCCGAGTTGATGGTCCCAAGGAATCCAGGAACGAGTGTAGAGAGCTCTGTAAGTGTTGGAGTAGAGGTTCTTCCAGGCTCTCGTCTATAACCAGTACCACTGGAGCGGCTGCCACTGTCGAGTCCGCCACTGGAACAAATCCCGGCCTCCATGATCCAGCATCCATGAAGTCCACGACGGGGGACACGAGCTCTGGCCAGTTATGCAAATCGTTGGCGCCGGCGGGCCTGTACTCTCCATTGCTGCTGTTGATCTTCTGGCAAAGCATGCATTGCCACTGCCCCGAGACTGGAGTGAGCCGAGAGTATAGATTCGGGTACGCACCACACTTCTCGCAGCGTGCAGGATCTCTCTGGATGGCTGGAGGTGACGGGTCGATCTCTCTCCCTGGCGATAGCAGAGCTCCAAACGCCAAGCTTGTTGCATTCAGGAGCTTCTTCTCGCTCAAGATCTACGTGAAAGAAAAGTTCACAAAGTTTTTACAAGAGTGATGAAAAGCAGAACAAACTTTACGAACGTACCAGTCGGGATGTAAACATGACAAAGGTCGTGGCATAGTCCTCTGGAGAGATCTTGGTGTGATCTTCTCCCTGCCCGTTCATCAATCCCGGAGGGCCGGAGGAAGGACTGATGGGAATCTCCGAGAATGGCTGGCTCATCCCGTGCCGTGGCGAACTCGCGGCGATGTCCGGCGGCGGCGGCGGGCGCTGTGGGAATTGCGCGGCGAAGGGTGGCGGCGGAGGGGGGGAGAAAGGGATCGCAGGCTTGAAGAGTGGAGCTCCCGGAGGCCCGGAATATGGCCCCGGAGGAGGAGGATTTCCTGGAGCTGGAGCTGCTGATGCGCCATTGAACGACTGCCACCGCTGATCGGCGCTGGACGACGATGTGGACACTGGCAGCTGCGGCGCCGAATTCTGCCGTGAAATATTTCGATCCGATGGAGCCGGCTCGATCTCGCTAGCCGCGGCGGCCATGGCCAGCGATCGCGAAAACCCTATGTCCGCGGAACCTCTCGCTCTGGAAATTTGGCGCTGCTATAGCTCCGATCCGATCGATACAGACCTGGAACTGCTGCGCGCATTCTCAGCTCACTGGATCCATGAGCGATCGCTGAGAGATCGGAGCTCCATCCATCGGAGGACCGTGCCGCCCAGGCGCTTGGCCGGACTCGAACCTCGGAGCTATCCCACCTAGGAATATTTGCGATTTTAGGGTTCTTGTTCATTCTTTCGCCATGGAGAACTCGGAGCTGCCGCACGACGTCCTCGGCCACCACGACACGCTGCGCCACGGCCTCCCGGCTTTGAAGAGCGATGCGCTGCCGCTCCATCCCGTCCAATCGCTTCACCAGGAGGTAAGATCTCTCCCACCGCGCCGCTCGTGAAACCGATAGGTTTTGCTTCCAGAAGCTGAAATTTGGGGCCGACACCAAGCGGAAGATCGTCGAGAACCTCTATGGCTCAGCGTTTGCCCTGAGAATGGACTTCGATCGCCAGATCCTCTCTCGGTAATGCGCAAAATCTCTTCTTTCATCTCTGGTTTCTCATGGTTTTGTGTTTGCGCAGCTGCCAACGACCTGGGAATCTACTCCCTTCCTCCATGATCGGTCTGGAGTCCCTCACTGGAACACTGGACGAGCTCAACTTTGAGAACATCATCTATGGTACTTTGTTTGCCCTTGGATCGATATCGATCGATCTCTCTCGATTGTCTAGATTGTTTACAGCTCTCTTCGCGATTTCTTTCCAGATCCTCGCGATTCCAGTCGATTCGTTCCTGTGGACATGCACGACGCAATGGAGCTCCGGCTCGGGCTTAACTCTCGAAAAATGTAATAGAAGGAACCCTTTAAAAAGTATGACTTTTTCTATAGCGGTTTAGGGTTCTTGAGCCTGTCAATGGATTGATAGATTTTGTGTGAAAGCTATGGGTGATGCTACAGCCAATTCTTATTCACACAAACTTTTTCTACTCGTTCTCCAGATCTCCGGGTTTTCTCTCCCGGACTCCAACCTTCTCGGCGATCCTCTCGGCGTCTTTCTTGAGCGCCTGACCCGCGATCACCACCGTCTCCTTGAGCTGCTCGGTCGTCTCCCCGGCCTTTTTCGGCACCTCCTTCATCTCGTCCATCATCTCCCTCGCGTTCTTCTTCTCCACCTCCACCTGGTGCTTGATCCCCTCCACGATCCCGCCAGACTTGGATTTCACGTCCTCCTTGGCCTCGTTGAAGGACGAGACGCTGCCGCCGCCCTCGCTCACCATCTTGCCGTGCTCATGGTCGGTGTCGGGCTGATTGGTTTCCGGATTTGCCTGCCATGAGAAGAATCCAAAACCATGAGAAGAGGAGTGGAATTCGAGTGGAACTTGCTCGATCGCTTACCGAAAAGAATCGCCATTGGAAAGCTCTCGTTGCTGGTGCTCCTCGCTGGAAACTCTTGCCAAGTGCCACGCGCAAAGCCATCGCCGCGACCTCCTTCTTCTTTGCTTGATCTTTCGCAAAAGAATCACTTCCTCGCGAACAAACTCCCCAGAAAAACTTCCCTATAGCCGCACTATCCTGGCACGTGGACGATCTGCTACAAGCCACTTGGCACACACGCGTCACCTTTTAGTTAGAACAATGTTTGTGAAATTTTCGCTATGATCGTAATATTTTTCACAATGTACTATGATCGTGTATCCTTAACAATGTTTGTGATATTTTCACTATGATTGTGTTATTTTTTCACAATGGTTTTTTTATTTTTTACCCAACATCTACCAGAGTGTCAAAACTGTGTCTATAAATTTTGCTCTTTCGTTTGTTAAGCTCCTTCGGCTTTCTCTTCTTCGTCGTCGTCTTTCACTTCTTTCACCCCCTTCACCTACATACATCGAAGTAGAGAAGAATAATTAGCGAGGAACAAACTAAAAATCCAATTTTTACCTCTGGAACGTAATGCATGAGCATGTTTTCGATTCCAGACTTAAGCGTCACGGCCGAGCTTGGACAGCCACTGCAAGCACCTTGCATCTTAAGCTCCACGATCCCGGACTCCCTGATCGACGAGAAGAAAAAAGGATTTACCTTTTTGAATTTTTCTTGAGAAAGATATAGAAACTTTACCTGTCGAATCCACGGTACTCAATGTCACCGCCATCGTCCTTGACAGCCGGACGTATTCGCGTCTCGAGGAGCTCTTTGATCATCACCACGGTTTCATCGTCTCCCTAGAAGCCAAGTAGCCAAAGTAAGAACAGGAACAAAAACTAGGAGGAGAAAGGTAATCTAAAAGAAGGAACTCGCAGAAAAACTAGGAATGGAGGAGGAACTTGCAGGAGCAAGGATTTACCTCTTCGATCGCCGTGTCTTTAGGCGCTTCTACTTGCGCAGAGTAGAAGAGTGGCTGTCCAGAGGCGTAAAAATCCATGATCGCTGCAAAGACCTCCGGCTTGAGCACGTCCCACTCCGTATCATCCGACTTCGTCACCGTCACGAAGTCCGATCCGAAAAACACCCGAGTAACTCCTACAACATGACCAGATCAATCCAATCTAAAGCTGCCACAGAGCTCCAAGTCTTTGTCTTACCATCGATGCCAAATAACGACTTGGCGAGAGGAGATTTCATGGCCGTCCTGGCATTGGGGAAATCCGAGCTGCCAATCTCCATGACCGGCTTCCCGGGCGAGAAAATCAGCGACGCGGGATTGGGAGTAGTCTGGACCTGGATGAACAAGCTCCGTCGATGGCCTGCAAGGATAGAAATCGATTCATGCAAACCCTAGCAGAGCTCACAGTACCATATGAGAATCTGGGAGGAGCGCGCAGCGCCGCCGACGCCGGTGCGCGATAATCGAATGCCACGCGCGTGAATGATCTTTGTATCGCTGCCGCACCACTGGACACACTACGGTGGGATGAAATATCGGATCGCCAGAGAGAGGAGAGTCTTCTTCTACTCACCAAGCCTCTTGCTCTCGCGGCCATGCCCTAAAACCACAATGCAGGGGATGGCATATTCTCAAGCATTTTAGTGTATCTTTGGAATATGTTTTTACTTTAACCTTGCTATCTAACCCTTTTGTTACCTTTTAATCATGTTATTTAAAACTTTTGTTAATGGGATTTACATATTGGACACGTAAGCCTGGTTTAGGGTTCTTGGTGACGAACAATCTTGGAGAATTAGAACGAGGATCCAGTTGAGGGTTGAAGGCGAGTATCTTCAATGAAGATCCAGCGTTGTTGTACATTTACAAGTTGTGAGTATAATATAAAATCTTACTTGGTGGTGAAGAAACTTCAGAATCAGTCGAAGCAGCCACAGCAACTCAGTGCAGGTTGAGCTTTTCAGCTAGCAATTTCAGGCCTGCGCTTCCTCTTTCGAAGGCGTAAGCATCGAATTGTATAGCGGCATCCACTATGTAATCGGCTGGTACGATTTCTCGAAACGACTTTGGATCGACGCTTCCTAGTGATACCTCCTGCAAGTTCCTGTACAGCTTGGTCGTGTAAGTTGCGCTGCTTCCCTCACCGTTCGTCCCGATTCTGCCCAATCAAATGCTCGTTTTGTTATATTTCCAAGAGAAAGTTTTGAAAGGCAAATCACCTGATTCGAATTGCTTCGTGCCCATCCTTTGTCACAAACAAAGCAGGCTGCCATTTTGCATTGATGCCGAATAAGGCGCACTTGTTCTTCACAGCAGCTTCGCAGTGCTTGACAATGGCTAGTAGCTCCGCGCTGGGGATGATGACAATCTTAAATGTTGGCATTCCAGTCTCACTGAATGCGTATCTGTCACTGACGCTGAACTTGACTTTTGAATTGTCCGCCTGAACACAAAGCCGATTGGAGCCATGGAAGGGAATCACCGACGGGCCTCCATCATAAACAGCACCGACTGAATCCAGTAACACTTCATGAGGCTGAAGGAACCTGTTATGATCTTCTCCTGTCTCAAATTTGAGCTTACGTTTCACCTCCTGTTCTTCATTTTGCATCTTTGGATCTATTGCTTCACATTCGCCACCTTCGAGTTGCAGCATTGCTTCCTCCAATGATAAAGTGACCAGCCTGAAATCATCACCACCCCCATAGCTGGACCTTCGACGCTTCTGTGGAGCCTGAGGCGAAGATTGAAATAAATGTGGGAAGTTGGATTCCTGCAGATAAATGGAGTAAGATCTACAAACAGCAGCTTGATCCTAGAATACCAGAAGCAGCACAGTCGCGCACCGCTTAAGCACCTTAATGTTCATCCGGACATCCGGAAGGCTCCTGAGCAACACAAGCAAAGCTCGACTCTACATGTGCAAAATTGAAAACAGAAGGAACCTGTGTTCTTGCTTTCCAAGACTGAAATAAGCGGCCAGTGTGCTCAACTGCTCAACCAAACAGGCATCATCAACTTGAAAGATTGAGCAGCAAGCATGTACCTTAAGATTTCTAGCTCTTTGTCCAAATGTTCTCTGCAGAAGCGGGAGCGTATCGATGAAGCCAGCAGCTTCAGGCATCGGCCTGCCGATGCTAGCAAAGGGAGCCTGGTTTGAAGTTGTTTGAAGTTCACTTTGGCCAGAAGATTGGGAACGGCTGGACTTGTTTCTACAAGAGGCGAGACACCCTGAACTGGGAGAAGAAGAAACGCACTGTTTGCTCGCTTTTATAAGAACCCTTAGTAGAGACCTCAAAGAAGAAATCTTCTAGCTCAAAAAAAGAAATGGAGAGATTTCTCTGCTCTCTTCGTCATCTTAGTCATTATCATCCCAGAATGCTAAGTGGCTCTCTATTTGCACCACTAACTGTGAGAAGGAGTTCCACATCAGCGAGAAGGTAAAGAAGGCAAAAGAGGCAAACATGGGATTCCAAGAGACAATATCGGGAGCAAGAAGACCATCAAACATCGGTACTTTGGCCAAACGCCTGGTTTCGGCACAATGCATTCCAGGCTAAGGGGCTCCTCCGCCCGCTCAAGATTGCCGTGGCTAGCATGCGCAACCAACCATGAGGTAAGTGCTGCCCAGCACTGGAGCATGGAGTTCCTGGAAATCCGCATCGAGGGCCACCAGTACCAGAACTTGGTTGTGAAAGAGATTGCCATGGTTATGCATTGGAGATCCTCTACTATCTCGGCCTTCCCCGGGGATGATGATTCCATAGTGGCCTTGACTATCTTTTTCTCCATATTAAGTTTAACATGGTACTCAATTTAGACAAGAATATTCCCTGAGGATGGGTCGTTGTTCCAGGTTGACTGAAATGTGGGCCGAGCTCTATGTTGTCCACGAGAAGTAGTATGCGGTGGTGAGCTGGATGAAGCCTCTTGATTGTCTATTGGGCTCAGTGGAAGTGACGAGCATCACTTGGCAACATCACAGCTTGAGGCATCGCTAGACAATTGGTACAGCTGCTTGAACAAGCTCGTCACAAGCAAGAGGGATTACATGAGGAATCTATGCGGCTGGGTGCAGCTGTGCGTGATGCTGTTTGAGGATGTCAAGGACTCTGCAACTCTCTCGGCTGGATCGTCGACTCCTAGTCGTGGTATTCCAACAGAGAGCATGGAGCCAAACCCAACCCACAAGATTTTTTTATGATCCGAACATTGTCGAATCCGCAGATATTGTGCCCCGCCCTGCTTGCTCAAATCCTTCACATGAGCAATCTCAAGAACAAAGATCGCGAGCTTACCGTGCAGTAGCTCATAGACTCGATCAGCAATCTCAGAGAAACTAAGCGCGCAACTGCTGGTGCCGGCTGCATTTCTAGAGTTGATCACAGAAGGGCGAATCCGCGTGGTGAAAGAATTCTTCTAATCCCTTTGCCGATAATACCACAGCCCCAAACTCTAGAATCTCTCGGCACTGTTCCTGGCCCTCTGGCATGCTCGTCTCCAGATCGTAGAACACAATCTCCATTCTTCCTGAGCTCAGGCGCCATAGCTGTTTGCTTGCTGCCTGATTTCTATCCAATCCGCGATGGTGCTCGTCCGGACTCTAGATCGACCGTTAATGTAAAGTCTAGCATCTTCAGTATACTAAACTGAATATTCTTAAAAAATGGAATATTTGCCCCCGATGGCAAGTTAGCCCTTTGGTAAATTTTTTAAAGAACCCTAAAAACAGGGGAGCTATGGCTGCTATTCCAGCATCCACTCGGTTTCCCTCGCCACCATTCTCGATTTCTACCACAGTAGCAGCAACCCAGCATCGATTTGGCGCATTGGGCGATACCACTAAAGCCCGGGTAAGGCTCCGATGGTCGTCTCCTCCAAATTGTGTGTCCAATCCAACCGGGAAGCTCGATGATTTCTCGCTCCAAGACGACGACGAACGTTAGTACCTCTCCTGTCGCTCAAATCCTTCTCCCTGGCATTGGAGTAGTGACCTTTCGTCCATCTCTCCACAGCTCCGAATTTAAATCCGGCTCCTCCTCCAACACCCGGGCGATTCGAGATCACCATCGACAAGGAGACTGTTCGTCGCTTGGATTTGTCGCCGGCTCACGTCCTGCTGAGAAAGTACGTGCATCGAATCGGTAAGAGAGATGGAAGATTAAAGTTGGTGAGCTTACATCTCGATTCGTGGAACAGGAGACAACGCCACGGATCCGGCCAGCGATCCAAACGAGCTGCTGCAAAAGACAGTAGGATTCGTCATCAACTACGAGAGGGATGATCCTGTCGATCCGAGAGAGTTGTCCGAATTACCTGATCTCAGGCTGTGGTTTCTTCGTCTGGATGCTGCGTATCCATGGCTGCCGGTGGTGCTCGACTGGAGGAGCGGGGAGCTTGCTCGCTACACGGCCATGCTTGTTCCACACCAGATGAGCCAGAGGCTTGGCGTCGTCTACAATCCGGAGGCGCAGGAACTCTTTGCGATGAGCAAGCTCTTCACGGTTTATAGCTGGCTCAAGGCGCGGGGTGTCGCCAACCCGCAAGCCAAAACGAACGCGATGATGCAAGTGATTGGCTTTGGCATCAGTGACGAGCTCTTCAAGCTTGTGGAGGCCAATCCTCATCCTTGAAACTGCTGAAAGTTTCGAGACCGTGAGAAACTTTAGTGCGTAAAAGCTGGAGGCAACTCACCGAATTCGAGGCAGTAGTTTCAGTTTCAAGCATTACAATGTTCTTGGTCAGCTGGCTGTGCTTCATTTCTGCGATCTCCACCTGAGACAGGAGAAAATATGAATACAGGAACACCTCGAAATGGTTTTTGCTACAAACCTTTGCTAACCAGTTGTACAGCTCCCTACGGATAGACTTGGAGCGCTGTTTTATCTTCATGTACTCGATCGCGGTAGGCCTCAAATCCTCACCCTTGACAAACGCGAGAAGCTCCAGATGCAACCTATCCTGGCAACACGAGGTACATCCAAGAGTTAGCGGCACTAGAAAGAATTTGACACTCCAAACCTTTTCCTTGTACTCGCTTGTTATAAGGTCTTGAAGCTTTCCAACCAGCGGTGAACGATCTGTTAGACTTTGCCGCATAGACACTTTCGCTACGGCTTTACTGTCCATTTCTTCGCGTAATGCTTTAGCAGCCTACAAACAACACCATGGTTTGTTTTCATCCTTCAAGTGATCATAATTAGAAAGCATACCTGGGCTATCTTCCTACTCACATGCCGCGATTTGTCAAGCAAACGAGCTCGCGCATCAAGCTGGTTTGCGAGGTCTTCATTCAAATTCCTCATCTCCTTAAAGTCCGAATCGTGGAGTAACTCCCGGACATCAAGCTTAGACTCGAGTTGTACCGTTGCTGTTGCAACCATCTTCTCAAGTCGCTTGATTCTTTGCTGGAGCTTCTCCTTGAGCAACCTTTTATCGAGTATTCTTCCATTGAGATACCTGTAGATGAGTTTCACACAAATAAAGACTTTTAGAAAAGAAAGAGATACCTGAGCATATCTTCCGAGTAAGGCTTCTTCGAAGGATTGAGAAGCTCCGCAAACTGGATCACATTCCTTTGCATCTCCACGCGATCCTTCCTGGCCATGCCACATGTGTGCTCCGCAACGTCGAAGTAGTTCTTCAAGCCATCTAAAATGCCATCCTTGTCGTTCTTGAGCCTATCGAGCCGCTTCTCCAGAGCCAGGCAAAGCTCCTCGATGATCTCGCACTTCTCCTCCCAGGTCATGGGAGGCAGCATATCATCGCTGGGCTGGAGCCCATCAGCGTCCTCGATGAAACCGGCAAACATCTTGCTGCCCTCTTTGAAACGCCGGAGGGAGCTGCGGTTGGAATCCGTCGTCGACTTGGAGATCTCCTCGCCAAAGAGGGACGAGCTCCTCCGGCTGGCTTCGTCCTCCTCCGAAAGCTTTGGAGCATCCACAGTCTCGTGCCAAGTCACAGACGAGCTCCCTGTCCTTGACGAGCTCGTCTGCTTGGTCTCGGAGCTGCTGTGATGCTCCGAGCTAGAGCCTCCCGGTCGGTGCGATCCAGAGCCATAAGATCCAGCATCTACTGCCTGGTGAGATCCAGACGGAGAGGAGGATCCCTCCGCTGGCTGATAATATCGACCAGATGAGCCAGATCCAGAGCCAGAATGGTCGACTCCTTGGTAGTATCCACCAGATCCCGAGCCCGATCCAGAGCCAGCTCCACCAGACCCTGATCCAGAGCCAGAGAGCTGCGCGTCTTGGTAATACCCCAATCCAGAGCCTGATCCAGAGTTCTCGGCTGGCCCGTAAGATCCAGAGCGCGATCCAGAGCCGGAATTCGATGCTCCCGCTGGCTGGGAGCCCGATGAACCCGATGCCGCCGGCTGATAGTGGTAAGAATCCCCCGATCCAGACGCTGAGCTACCGCCGCCGCGATCCGACGATCGCGCAGTGGGATCGCTGGAGCTGCGCTGCGATCCGGAGGAGCCGTCCTGCGAATTTCCCCCTGGCAGCTCCATGGAGCCGATTCCTGAGCTGCCGCGAGCCCGGCCAGGAACTTCTGGAATCTAGGCGCAATGGCAGCGTTGCCGGAGAGATCCAAAGAATGCCGCAGCAGCACATCGCCTGCCATCGTGTCACCAGCTTCCACTCGCCACTCCCTCTCATTACCTGGCGCCGAACGACGCCTTCCTCCATAGCACATTTTGCCGCCTTTTAGGGTTTCCAGGCATCGCGGTTCGAATCCTATAACGCTTTGACCGACAAGGTCATCGTTTCGATTCCGTTCGTCTACAAGAACTTATATTTACATTCCTTTCCTAGTCCATTGATCTTTCATTGCTAGGCTCCTCATCAAAAGTTTGGAAAGTGCTGGATATCGCCTCGACCACCTCCTCTGGTAAAACCACGCAAGAAAAATCAATCCAAGCGAGAAATCTGGTAGCACTTATCTACTCACCTTCCAAAACGTTGTGGCTCAAATCCAGGAACTCCCGGAGGACCAAAAGGATCGAATCGAGCACCCTGTGGACGCCTGGAAAACGATGAACAAAGAGAAGATTGGTAAGAACACTGGAAAGATCAACCAGGGAAACTCACGTTAATCCAGAAGGATCGTCATGACCGGGAGGAACGTTTCCCCAGACGGGATGCCCAGGTCCTACACATTTTCCATTGTCGATGTCAGCTTGCCGATTTCTAGCAATACAAGTACTCACCTACAAGACTTCCGGCCTCGCCACTCTCGAGAGTGCTGTCTTTCCTGAGGTAAGTTTGCAATTCTTCGTGTAAGGAAAAAGAAAAAGAAACCTGTGATGATCGAAAACACCAACTCCTGGTCCTGGTAAGAGATCATTGAGGCCTACAGGTCTCCCAATTAGGCTCACTCCAGGAGTAGCAGGATATGGCCTCCTGCAACGCAAAGAACTTAGTTTTCGAGACACTGAGAAAGAGCACGATAGAAGCAGCAAAACAAAGAAAAAAAAAAGACGAACTTGCCTAGGAACAGACAGGGTCTCGTCATCGATCATCAATTTTCCTGTTTCCCTGGATTTGCGAAAGAGGAAAATAGAAAAAATATCGAAAAGAACTTGAAACATACCTGGTTGAGGTCGCTGGTTCCGGTGGTTTCGTCGAGCACTTCGAGAGAACTTGAGAATTCACAATCTTCACGATTCCATCCAGGTCCTTGTATTGCTGGGCGTAATTCCCAGTATCAGAATCTTTCGCAAAATCAGTGACCCTTGGATAGATAGTATAAGAACAAACACAAAGATGATTCTTCGAGATCGCCACTTACTTGATCTCCAGATGGAACAAATCATTTCCTCCTTCCACAGCCGCATCCACCATCAGCATGTCACCGATGGCAGTGCATTTCACGTCCACGCTCTTGGGCAAATCCTTCTCATCAGTGAAATACTTGAACGCGTACGCATTTTCCAGCTCATTCCATCCATCGATCCCGACCTCTTGCTCTTCACGAAGACACCAAAAACATCAGACAGCTCCCAAGCCATACAAATCCCTACCCGAAGAAGCCCCCGACGCCGCCGCCGCCGATCCAGTCGCTCCGAGTGAATACCCGCTCGCCAGGAATGCGGCGTGTAGCGCAAACGCTACACGATCGTGTGGCGACCGGAATTGCGGCCGCGAGGCGCGAATCACAGCTAGAACAGCATCCGTAGGCGCCATCACTTCCCAAGAACCCTAATCCCACATCGTGCCGCCACGGGGACTAAATCGAGCATCCCAGCTTAGCCACGTGGCATGCAAACAAGCCATCCACGTGTTTTTGCCCTAGAAAATGTCCTAGGGCTAGGAAGTGCCAACGACCAGCGGCTTCTTTCCTCCATTTCATGGATCGCGATGGAATCGGCAATAGGTATGACGATGGCGAAGCGATATAGATGAGGAATTGGAGCAGCAATCCATGGGGAATTGCGTGCGATGCGTGAACTCTCTGAGTTGCGTGAATCGAGGGGCGAAATTGGTTCCCAGCGAAGCTGAGCGCAACCGGCGCAATGCGCCGCCGCCGCCGCCGCCTCGCAATCGCCAGCAGCCGCAAAGAAGTGCCCAAGAGCAACAGCAAAACACCAAGGCACTCCCGGCATCGCCGCCAAGGCCGGCATCTCCAGCAGCTCCATCGCCATCTCCATCGCCATCTCCGGCAAAACCGTCCACCGCTGCCACCGCCAAGAACATCGTGATCCCATCCTCGCAGCCCAAGACGGATGGATCCAACGTCCTGGGCCTGCCGCTCAAGGACGTCCGATCGGCCTACGCGCTGGGCAAGGAGCTCGGGCGCGGCCAATTCGGCATCACGTACGCCTGCACGGACAAGATCACGGGCGAGAAGCTGGCCTGCAAGACGATCTCCAAGCGCAGCCTGCGCAATCGCACCGACATGGAGGACGTCCAGCGCGAGATGCAGATCATGCAGCGCCTGGCCGGGCACGCCAACATCGTGGAGCTCAAGGCCGTGTACGAGGACAAGCAGAGCGTCCATCTGGTGATGGAGCTGTGCGCCGGGGGCGAGCTCTTCGATCGGATCGTGTCGCGTGGGCACTACACGGAGAAGGCGGCGGCGGCGGTGTTTAGGACGATCGTCAGGATCGTCCAGCATTGTCACGCCACCGGAGTGATCCACCGCGATTTGAAGCCCGAGAATTTCTTGCTGGCCAGCCCCGCCGAGGACGCGCCGCTCAAGGCCACGGACTTTGGATTGTCAGTGTTCTACAAGCCGGGTAATGATAGAAAGATCTCTCTCTCCCTCTCTCTCTCTCTCTCGATTGCTTCGTTCGTAAGTTCTTCTCCCATATAACATCTTTATCATAGTTTGCCACCTTATATAACATTTTTCTCAGAAAAAAAAGCCTTTTTTTCAGGACAAATATTTACCGAAACAGTGGGCAGTGCTTACTACGTAGCCCCGGAGGTTTTGAAGAAACGATACGGTCCAGAGGCGGATATATGGAGTGCCGGGATCATACTTTACATTCTTCTTTGCGGCTTGCCACCTTTCTGGGCAGGTATCTCTTTCTCAAAAGCTCGATTTTGTGACGCTCTTGGAGAAAGAAATGCTGCGCAGAGACGGAGAAAGGGATCTTCGACTCGGTGTTGCGCGGGGAGTTGGATTTCAGCGATGATCCATGGCCGAAGATCTCCTCCTCGGCCAAGGAGCTCATCCGCCGGATGCTCAACCAGAACCCGAGCGAGAGGCTGGCGATCCCGGAGATTCTTGGTAAAACTCTTGGAACTCTTTGGAATTCTGGCTTGATAACGATGTTTTTCGTGTGAAGATCATCCCTGGGTAAGGCCGGATGGTGAGGCGTCGGATCAACCCCTGGATCAGTCTGTTCTTGCGAGAATGAAAGGCTTCACGGCCATGAACAAGATGAAGAAGATAGCTCTCAAGGTATAAACAAAAGCTTTCTTTTGATCCAAGTTTGACAAAAGAGGAGCTCTAGATCATTGCCGAGAGCCTGTCCGAGAAAGAGATCAAGGGTCTCAAAGAACTCTTCAAGAAAATGGACGTGGACAAGAGCGGCACCATCACCTTCGAAGAACTCAAGTCGGGCTTGGCGAAGCAAGGCTACGATATGGCCGAGTCGGAGGTCCGAGCGATCATGGAGAGTGTAAGCTATCAAACTTGTTTGGCACTTCGATCAGAGCTTGTGGATCTTTCTTTGGCCAGGCCGATGTCGATGGAAACGGGACGATCGATTATCTCGAGTTTATCTCGGCGACAATGCACATGAACAAGATGGATCGGGAGAATAACTTGCTCGCGGCCTTCAAGCAATTCGACACGGACAATAGCGGGTAGAAACTTCTCTCTTTTTTTTAAGGTTGATAGCCCTTTTTTTTCCTTCGCAGCTTTATCAGTGTTGAGGAGCTCGAGCAAGCTCTGTACAGGTATGGAATGGTGGACGAGGGGATGATCAAGGATATAATCAAGGAAGTGGACGTGAACAAGGCAAGTAGATTCCAAAATGTTCTGGGAGAGAAACGAGCTTGCATTTCCAGGACGGGAGGATAGATTACAACGAGTTTGCTACGATGATGCTGCGAGCGGGATCGAGTGCTGAAGAGGACGGGATCAAGCGCTTGGAAGCACCCGTTGGAAAACCAAAGCCGCGAGCATAGAAGTTTTTGTAAGAACTTGTGTACAACCTTTCGGTTTACCTCGCATGGGGGGAAAAGAGGAGTCGATCAGTCAAGTGAATGAGTCCTAAGTTTCCTTGTTCAGACCGTGCTGGAGAGAGAAAAGAAAAGTGTGAGAAATCGACGAGCGAGTGAGAAATCGATGAGGAACGAACCTTTAAAAGATACATGTGGTGGCTCGACGACACAGCAGTCTGGATATGCCGTGCGAGCTCCTCCACTTTGCGTTCCTCGAATTGGAAGTTTTCTTGGAGCTTTGCACCTTCGCCAAGTTCCCTGTACAAAGCTGGAAAACGAAAAGAGGAAGAGGATCACCTACAGCGAGAGGGAGAGAAGAGAGAGAGTTCAAACCGGTTAATTCCGTTAGGACACCAATCTGTCCTGAAACATCGTGAAGAGCCTTCGCCAGTGTAAACGACGATTTGAGGATGTCCAAGGCCTGCGAGGTGTCATGGATAGCAAGGGCCAGGCTTCCGAGCACAGTAAGGTATTGGGAAACCAGTTGATGGTTGCCGAGTTGTTTGTGAGTTAGTTTTAGTCCATTAGCAAGCCGTGTCCTGAAACACCATAGTAGAAAGCTCATCTTAATGCCAAGCACAGAAACTAGCGAGTATGTACCGTGCTTCTTGCGGGTTATGTTGCTTCATTTGCAGAAGACCTGATGCGAAGAGCACTAGCGTCTTCTCTCGAACTCCAATGAAAGAATCCATGGATCTATAGACAGGTCCTATTAAGTCAAGAGCCTGCATTGATAGGGAAGTATCTAACTTTCTGTACATGCGAGGACGGGAAGTTTACATACCTGGGAACACGAGTCGGCGTCACCCAAGCAGATAAGAGATATAGCCGAATAAACATGGCATAAGGCTTTCAAGGCTTTACTCTCAGTAAGCTGTCACGTACGCATTCAGTGTAAAAGAAACGTAGACACGATGTTACCTTAGCAGCTTCGATGAAATGCAGAGCTCCCTCCTGAAAGCAGCCAACAGAATGTGCGTAGTGGCCCAAGAGCATGTGAATTGAGCTTTCACAACCTTGAAGAATCGTTGGAAATCGAAAGTAGAGATCCAGCACCTCCATCAAAGCCTAAACAAAAAAACGTCTCAGGGTCAGCAGTGAAAAGAAACTTGCCTTTTGAGCGTCCATAAACTCAGTTCGTGTCAGGTCAATCAGGATTTTGTTTTCTAGAAGCTGGAACTGAAGCACAAGATATACGCCGGCCATCCATATGCTCCAGTGCGGTAAATGAGTTTCTGAGGTTAAAAAAAAAAAACAAAATGGCATTAAAACGCTGTTTAATTCAAGAAATACCTTGAGTAGATGATGTGATTCCCAGCTTTCCAAGTTCTCCTGCACATCAACGCTGTAAAATTGTATCACAATCCAAGAAGCTATCTTACCGTTCACGATACTTAGACCAGATTGAAGACGCTTCGTCGTTTCTTTAAACATGCCTTTTGGACGAGCGCATGTCACAGCCATCAAGTCCACCAAAATCAGCACAGCACCTGTTGGCAGCCACTCACCATCGAGTGGAAAAACACCCAGTGGCAGTTTGCTCTCCTGCTTCCACGCGTTGCCGTAAAAGAGATACTTGTAGAAGCGTTCCTGATCTTTGAGTCCTTCTAGCTGACGGTCCAACTCGTGATAGAATCCAACCAACTCATTCCTTTTTTGCTCGTGGATGCCCTGTTCTTTCAGCTGCCCTTGCAGGATTTTCATCTCCTTCTGTAAGTCATGATCCTGCATTTCTAGTGCCGTCATGCACGCTTGTTTCTCTTCGGGAGCTAGCAACTGTAATCGGGCTGTTTCATACTTGCTAGACAGCGCCGCATCCAAAAGCTCGACGTGATGGGAGGCTGCCTTGTAATCGCATACACGCAGAAAGTAGAAGACATGAAGCAGCTGGTTGTAGACGTGTAGTCCGGGATGCAGCTCCCTCTGCAAAAAGTTGCGCGCGTAAAAAAAAAAAAAAACTTCCAAGAGGTGTTTTGAAGTAGTTGTCTCACCGTTTGGTGAGGAAGTTGATCCCAAAGCTGGTCGCAAAGGCTCACAGTTTGCTGCAGAGCGGTTAGATTGTCGCTTTCCATAAGATGAACGTGAAGCATTGATACTGCAAACAGTAGCTGCAAAAAGAAAAAGATTAGGCAACACAAAAAACGTTCAGAGCATGAAAAATAAACCTGGAGCTGCGGAAACTGAGCTTTCGAAGCATACACGAGCCCGGCTTCCAAGGCTCGGATGACATTAGGAAAATCGCCCTCTATCGTCAAGGCATTGGCAAGCTGTAAGTTAAAGTTGCACACCCATAACAATGGTGACAATCTGACAATCAACATAAAGCATCAGAAACTTGTTTAAAAAACTCGAAGAACTTACCCATCACCAGTAACAGCCAGATCCAATCCTTTCTTGAGAACTTGCTTCTGGGGACCGATCGTCCCCACGAGATGATAGCACCGACTGAGTAGACTGTATGCTCGGCATTTGAGCTCAAAGCACGAGGGTATTTGCTTCAACAGTAGTTGCTGGAAAAAGAAAAAAAACGTTGTCACTCATGGAAATCCAAAGAACTAAGATGCTATCATGCAAGACTAGCACTAGAACGTAAAGCAAAAGGAAAGGAAAAAAAATTCTAGCAACGTACCGCTCGTTCCAGATGATTCTTAGCGTGCAGTAGATTGTCTGTGTAGTTGAGGAGCACAGTAGCGAGCTGGAGCCGCGTCTTGACCTCCACGATCGGCAGGAAAGGGCTGCGGCTCTGGCAAATCGCCTCCAAGCATTTGACCGCCTGCGAAATATTTCCACTCTGCTCAAACCTATCCGCCAAGATCCATAGCCCCTCCGCCACGGCATCCATTCCCCACCTCTACTGGCATCGCATTGCCTGGAATCTCTAGCTGCCCGAGTCAGCTCACCTCAAACTGCCGGACCATCCATCGCTCCGCGAGACCTGGAGTAAAAATTTTGAAGAACCCTAAAATTTCTATCCTAAGGGGGTTTTTCCTGGTCAGGGATCTCTAGCCGCGCCACAGCGATCGTGCTTGGATTGTTTGATCTGCGCTGTGCTGCCGCTGATCGCGCGTGGAGCGGCACCGCAAGCATGGGTTTGAGTGATGATCACGATGGTTATTACCGCGGGCCAAGATTAGGGCTCTTTCATTTCTATGCAGATAGGAGGGAGAGGAGGAGGGAGCGAGCTGTGAGCTGGGACGATGTCCGCAGTGTGGCTCCACGTCTACGATGTCACCAACAGCATGTCGCCCAAGACCAACAGCACTATTGCAGGCATCAATCGCTTCTTCCGTGACGGCATTGGCATCGGCGGCATTTTCCATGGCGCGGTCCAGGTATGCACCTCGTTTGCTCTCTAGGACATAGCTCGGGGTTGGATTTCCTGGAGTTTGCGATCGATCGATCGATTCTTCGTCTCCTCTTTGTGTCGAATTTCCAAAATGCCGCCTTTGTGCTCCCGGTTTTCTTGTTGGTTTTCTTGTTTATCGTCTTTGTCTTCTTTCAGCGCGTGTTAAAGAGTTCTTGTTGTTCCTCTTGGCTCTGGATTTGTTTTTCCTCCCAAGAGCTAAGTCTTGTCGATTTCCAAATGGTCTGTACCTTATTTGTTCTTCGTCCTCCTTTGTCTTATTCCTGGAGATCTTTTCACTTGCAAGAAATATCAATTTTTTTTTCTTGGGGTGGTTCTTCCAAGAGCTAAACATACCATAATGCTGGTCCTTTTCATTCTTTCACGCTTTTGATGTTCTTCCTTCCAATAGCTAAGCTTTGGACTTTCATTAAAAGAATGGTTTTTTGGCTTCACAGGTGTTCGAGGAAGAGTGGTCATTCGGCTACTGTGAGAACGGGAGTGGAGTTTTCGGCTGTCCGCCCAAGAGCAATCCCATGTACACGTACAGAGAGACGGTGTACATCGGAAACACGCCTTTCTCCGAGGAGAAAGTAAACCAGATCTTGCTCGAGCTCAGCAAGGAATGGCCCGGCTACTCGTACGACCTCCTCGCCCGCAATTGCAACCACTTCTGCGACGAGCTCTGCGTCCGGTTGAGCGTTCCCAAAATCCCTGGTAAGTTTCTCCCACGTTTCTCCTTTCGTCTAAAGTTTGCTTTCGTGTTTTGCTCAGCTTGGGTGAATCGTTTCGCAAATGCCGGGGATGCCGCAGTCGATGCCGTTGGTAACACGGTGGAACGGGTACGGAAACTCTCTCCTTCTGCTTCTTCTCTCGGTCTCATACGTTATCTCTCGATCGTCGCAGATAAAGCAAGCAAAGTCGGACGTGGCGGCGGCGAGCAAGATCGCGGTGCGCTTCATCTTCGGCGGCCTCCCGCGGCCGGGATCAAACGGCGAGCTCCCCGCCGAGGAAGGCAGCTCCGGCCTCCGCAACTTATTCTCCAGGGCCAGAACGTTTCCTCGCTCCGAGGATGGAGACGAGCTCCACACCAGCGCCTCCAGCGTCGACAACCTCAGCACTAACAGCAGCTCCTCCGCGGAGAACAGCACCGGATTGTTCTCCAAGATCGCGAGATCAGCATCGCAAGGCTCCTCCCAGGACGGGTTTCTCAGCGCTGGCCTCTTTAGCAGACTTAACAGGAGTGGTGGCGAGAGTGCCACCACCGCCACCACCACCGCCACCACCACCGCCACCGCCACCTCCACCACCACCACTCAGACATAGTCTCTTCGTCATTGTTGTGGAGAAAAAAAAACTGGGATTATAGGAAAACTAATGCTTTGCTAGTGTTTGTAAAACATTTTATTGTATTAATAATAAATTTCAGCCGGTGGTTCTATTATGAAATTTAGTTAATTTTAAGTTACTTCTCTTTTTCTCTTTAGTTCTTTCTGGTTTTGCTAGGGTTTTGTTGTTAATGGATTAATTAGATAGTTGTTTTTTTTTCGTGTGCGCGGTCCTTTTGATGAGAATTCGCAAGAAGCGTTCCACCACAGTAGCTGTGGTATTGGCCACCGACCAATTGGGAAATGTTTGTAACTGGTGTGGCGAGGCAATCGATCCAAGCGAGGGCGATGGAGGTAATTTGGAGGAGAGGGGTCTCTCGCTCCCGAGTGTCAGCGGTGAAAAGGCACGTACTTTTCTCTTACGGGTTTTGGTTCTTACTTTCCTCTGTTCTTTCGCTCAGCCAGTGGATAGCCATGCTTCTCTTCGTTGTTCGTCGCTTCCACCCCCAAGGTTCGATTGCTTGATTGCGTTTGTCTTTCCCTTTCTCCATTGAAACTTCTACCGCTTTTCGTGCCGAGCAGCTGCACAGGAGGAGATGATTCGAAGAGTTCTGGTAAAAAGATGAAAGCTTCAACTTGCCTTTTCTCTCTTTCCTTGAATTGGAGCTCTTTTTGCAGCGGCGGAGGAGGCGGCGGCTGGAACACCAATGTCTCAGTTGCTGCGCATGGTCTTCGCCCAGACTCCAAATGCGAGCCTCACTCCTCGCCAGGCCTTGGCACGAATGATGATCTCGGGGCTCTGCGGCGGCGAGGAGCCGGCTCTTGTGCTGGAACAGGTTGCGACGACCATGAGCACGGATCCTTACTTCCTACAGCTCAAGCGCGGGCGGTTTCGCGTGAGGAATAACGCTGACGAGATGGACGATGGTACGCTCCCGGTGCCACAGACGCCGAGAGCCATCCCGAAAACTTTGAGGCTGCTGGACGGATTGCCTGACTTGGAGCCTGCCGATGTTCAAGGAGTCGAGACGCTGTGCTCCTGCAAAAACGGGAATGGTTGGAAGTGTTCACAGAAAGCAAAGCCGGGGTACCTTTTGTGCGAGCACCACTTGGATCTAAACTTCAGGAGAAAAATGAGAAGGGTCAGTCGCATGAAGGACGAGCTTACGTCCAGAATGAAACAAAAGAGTCACTACCTTGACAAGCTAAGTTAGTTCTAAGGAGTTTTCCTGTACAACAAAATCCTCAAGAGATATATTTTTGCACGGCGAAGCTAGTTGTGTCTCACAGAGAGAATATCTACACGTACCGCGTATTTCTAGCTATATCTAGATTACAGTTCCATCTGCAATCGTTGCGTTTTTCAATATCACAGTAATCCCGGAGCGAATGTAGTATCCCTCGGATGGCTTCTCTGCTTCTTGTACATTCTGCGCCAAAACAAAGGATTAGCATAGAGCAAGACGAAGCAATCAAATCTAGTCTCACGTCTTTGTTGGCGATGACGACGTTCTTTCCTATTCGAACATTTTTGTCGAGAATACAGTTTCTGCGTGTTTGGAAAAGTAAGTTGTGTAGAAGTTGCATAATCAACCGGCTAACCTTATTTTGGCATTCTGACCAACTCCGACTGGCACCTTCCCCTCTGCAACCATACTTGCTATCTCAGCTTCCGTCTCGTAGAAGTCGGCACCAAGCATCATGGTATCTTGAATCTCAGCACCAGCTTCGACTCGAGAACGAATACCAATCACAGAATGCGTGACACTGCATTCTTGAAGAAAGCATCCATGCGAAACTATGGAGTCCAAAACCTACAGTACCGAAAACACAGTTGCTCACTGAAGTTTCACTAGCAATACAAACACAAACCCGGCATTTTTCAATCTTAGTTGGTGGTAAATATCTGGGAGAGGTGTATATCGGTTTCGCTGCATCATAAAACCTGAATTTTGGTGGCTGCATAGATAGCATGTATCTTGAGAAAGAGTAAAAAGAGCAGTGTAGTATTACCTGGCAAGTAAGAGCAAGATTTGCTTCATAGAACGACTTGATCGTCCCGATGTCCTCCCAGTAATCATTAAACAAATAAGCCTGTGAACTACGCAGTTGAGCAGACATTCACCAACAAACAAACGAAAGACCGACCTGCACGTTGTACTCTTTTGCTGAAGCAGGCAAAATTTCTGATCCAAAATCATTTGCTGTAGGGTAGCGCCATCTACGAAGAAAAGAACGATAAGATCTTCTACATCTATAGTCAACAATTTGTACCTTAGAAGCTTCAAAAGAATATCTTTTTTAAACACGTAAATTCCCATGGATGCAATGTACGGCTTTTCGATGGCCTCTTCAGGCGTCAAGCCCAATACAGTAGTGTCCACTTGCTGGAAGCAGGGAAATAGAATATGCACAAATTATTATACAAACCGCATGCTGATGAATAATACCATCGCTTTCAGATCAGCTCCTTTCGGCTTTTCGCTGAAATAAAGTATCTGCCCATTGGCATCAATTTTCATCAGCCCGAAATCAGACGCCCGGCTTTCAGAGCACAGAAAAGAATCACGTAAGTATCACAAATGAAAAAAAAAACGTGGCTAGTTATACCTGTCGTCCATTGGCACGCAACCAATGGTTATGTCCGCTCCAGTATCTTGGTGTTTCTGCGAGTCAGCAGGAATCCTGGTTCATAAACAAATAAAAATATCATGTTATCGTAAACCTGAATGAATTCCATGTAGTCCATTCGATACAGATGGTCTCCGGATAAAACAAGAACATTCTCAATCTCTTTACTCCTAGTATCCTGAAAACAAGCGTAACATGATAGAGAAAATAAAGGCTCGCACAGTCGAAAGTACCTCAAAAACCCACGTAAACTGTCGAACAGCATCGGCAGTCCCTTGGAACCAGTTCATTCCTGCTTCCCCGGGAGTCTGAGTTGCAGCTAAAACCTGAAAACAAAAGGCTTTCTAAACGTTTACAGTAACAGCGCTTTCGAGTTCTGCCTACCTCAACAAAACCATCTCCAAAATTCACACCATTACCAAAATTGTACGTCCGAGCAAGGTGCCGATTCAAAGAAGCCGAGTTAAACTGAGTGAGGATGAAGATTTTGTTTATTCCGCTGTTGATGCAATTGCTCATTGGCACGTCAATAAGTCTGTAAGCGCCTCCAATTGGTACCTGTAGTGAACATGCCAAGAGCAACATTATATTAAAATTGGCAGACAACGAAGAAGCGTTTTCTTACAGCAGGCTTTGCTCGTCTATTTGTGAGGGGAAACAACCGAGTGCCGGCTCCTCCTCCCAGAATCAGAGAAACAACTGTTCTAGGATCTGCCCGTGGCTTTCCAATTGCTGGTGCCTACAAACAAGAAATCATTGAGTCAGAAACATATCGATCAAAGCGAGAAATGCTGTCGAAAATGCATCCCGTTACAAACTACCTCCCGGTCGAGAAGCTCGCCAACGTATTACGCTGTCGGTCGATTGATAGAATAGCACTCTGCACGAAAACGAGCAAAGCGCTCTTCTTAGTCTTTGCCGAAACCACACCGACTGTGATCAATACAATCTCTTCCAGCATAGCTACGACAGCTCTGAGATCTTTGATTTCTGGCACCCGACTCAAGAAGAATTGGCGCTCACAACCACGGCGGAATGCTCTAGAGCTACCCCATTGCAAGAAGAAAAAGAATTGGATGGAAAAGGAGGAGATCATACCACGGTTTCCTTGGCAATATCGGCCAAGACAGCCGCGCCGATGGAAGCCTTGCATCCGGCGTGAGGCTTCCTGGGCCTGCTACACCGCAGCGAAATCCCTGTGCGCGTCCAAAATCCCGACACGCTCTCTCCCATGTAAGCCGACCTCTCGGGAAGAATGCACGGCAATCCGCTCCTCTTGCGCGGCGCCAGGCTCACCACTCCCGCTGACGACGAGCATTCACTGCTAGGCGAACAGCAGGAAGAAGAAGAAGAAGAAGAAGACGGAGATGACAATGAGGAAGAAACGCGCGCCAGCGCCAGCGCCTGGGCACCAGCGACCAACGCCGCCATAGATTTCCCCTCTTCTTCTCTGACCGATCGCCCAAACCCTAGAAACCAAGAACGTAGCCCATTTGAATCACATTTGTGATTCACGGGCACACTTTTACCCGCCCCCGGCGTAAAGAGAAATTTTGCAAGGACTTGAAAGAGGAAAGAAAGAGACGAGGATGACGAAGGGATGGGATAAGAGGCTGCAATGCACCCAGCCTAAAGTGACCTCTTGTCCAATCTCATCTAAACACGACAGCACGGAAGTTATAGCCCCGCCGCATCCAAGCACCTGGAGCGTTAGATTCTCCTCGTGTTGAAACTCCCTCCAAATCCAACGGTTAGTATTTCTCACCTAATTCTCTTCCAACACTAATTGCACTAGCTAATCAAATGAGTTTAGTAATTAAACAGTTGTTTACATTATTAAGATTTACATCAGGAATATCTCTATATGGTTTTAAAAACACAGCTCCATTTCGTATGGTTCGCTGCAAGGGGACGTGGGATCTATGTACAGGGACAATGCTGCCAATGCAAAGATGAATATAATTACAAACCTCTCACGTCGCGCTCGCCCGTTCGATCGCAAGAGAGGGCAATCCAATTTCCTGGGAGCTCTCTCTCAGCCAGAGCTTCTTTGCTGAGCCAGCAACGCCAAGAGACCCCCTCCATGAACTCTCCCCTCCGGAACTCCCTCAGGCACGAACAAGCTCTTGGTCGCCACTGGAACCACCACCGGATGATGGAATCCTTGCTGCTGCTGAAAGCCTTGCTGCTGCTCTTGGATCGTCGTGCTCCAGCACTTGTTGATGTCGCCGCTTCCGCCCTCCTGTAGAAACCTGTAGTGATTCTGCTGCTCAAGAACAACCGAGGAGGACGCTGGAGCAGTAGACTGGTAGACGATGCTGCCGGAACTCGACTGCGACACCAAGTCCTTGAACAGCCCCGGAGCAAGCCCGCTAGCCTTCTCCTCCTGCACGATCGAGCTGTGAGCCGCGCAAAGTCCCAGCTTTCCCCTCGCAAATCTGTCACACGGCCCCTTGGACAGCTCCGAGCTCCCCTCCCGGGGTCCGTAGAGCGAGCCTTCCTGTCCCCAAGTACACCGCTTGCCACCCCCGTGAGCCTTGCAAAAGTCCGTGCTCCCCTGAGCACTCTTGCCGCATCCTTCCGTCTTGCACCTCTTCCCTCCGCCATGCTTGACGCAAAAGGCCGTCCTCCCTCTCGCACTCTTGGAGCAGT